TCCCGGTCTTTCTCTCCTTTCTTCTGTTTCCTCTTTTCTTCGTTTCTTCCGGCTATCTTTCTTACTTTTGTTTCACTTGTTCGCCCTTTCTTTCCAACTTGGTTTTTTCTTTCCCTCTTTCTACGTTTCTTTCGTGTTATCCTTCATTCTGACTTGGCTTTTTCTTCTTCTTCCACGTCACTCATTCTCTTCCTCATCCATCCATCCACCCACTCCGACGTTATTTGTGGACTTCCCTCCTTTTCTTGTCGATTCCTATCATTAAGTATTTATCCATTTATTTAATTATTCTACTTGTACTTCTATTTTTACAGGAATGGTGATTCGTATGATGAAGCTGGCTTTTACTTGTATCCATGGCTTTTGTGTCAATCGCTTATTCTGTTGATTTTTTTGAGTTTAGCAGTTTTAAATTTATCGTCATTCATTTCCTCCAAGCAAAATATTTTTAACAGTTTGTAGTACTGTATCATTCTTTATCAACAAATCCACACCACATAACAAAGTAATCTTGAAAATATTAATTTTATTCTTCAATTACAGTACCATCCTAATAGATCTAAATCATGCACTCTAGTCAAATTAAAGACTTCAGTAAGAGATTTCTAAATTTTCAAAATTACTATATTACAATTCAAGGAAACAACCAGATCAAAACAATATGGAATAACTCACAAACAGTAGATTATCATCAGTCATGAACATATGAAATTTTCAACCACAAGTTAGATCCTCAAAATATTCAATACTATTATTTTATGATATATGCATATATAGATGTGTATTCACTTAAATATGTATATATATATATATATAAACTTAAATTATAGCATTCAATTAAATAAAAATTACAAATTCTAAAGATTTAGTTCATTTCAATATTTATAAATAGGAAAAAGTTAAAGGATTTAATATATGAATATTTTTACATGGAATATCACAATCAAAATGGTATTTTGGTTGGATAAAAAAAAACTCAGAAAAGGAAAACAATGTAATCCACACCAACAACCTAAGTACAAATAGAAGAAATCTACACCTGTAAGAGATGTTGAAAGTGCTAAATTTGATGGTTCCATGCTATTCATACAATTTATTTTATTAAAAACAATCAAAAATGTTATGATAAATTTTGTCCTTAATGTAAAAAAATGTGTCACATTTGGTTTACAATATTAGAATGAACTTATCAAAATTAATCTACATACATTCTATTTTTAGTCCAACATATCTTTGTTGTCTTATATAGCTTAGTTACAATTCTATTTTAGTTCTTATAATTTGACATTTAATACATAACTACAATTTTATATATTACTTTCTATACACCTCTTTTTAGATTATATGGACCAATACTAATTTAGTATTAAACCTTATGTCTTTCATAGGAATAATCCATCATTCATACAATTGATGTTACACAATATTGAATTCCATACATATACATTGTATGCTACTCATGCCAATGATCAAAATTCATGTTATTGGTTTTCAAATTAAAACACAATTTTTTTTTTATTCTAATTCACATTTCTACACTCTACATGAGATACTTCATGTATTACACAAAGTTATCTAGTCATCAAAAATGTCTTCCAAATCAAACTTCAAACAATTTATTCCTATATCATTTTATTAATATAATAATCTACTATAGGAATCTTTAGATCAGCATAAACATTGACATCCTTTCTTTGCCACAATCAATTAAGAACTAAGTTTTAAGTAATATCTCTAAACATCTTCTTCCAACAAGTCCTTTAGTAAATTCTCTTATTTGTTTGCTTTGACATTAGCAAAGCCCTCAGGTATGTTTATCACAAAAACATTTTTTTCTATTTGAGGTTGTATATCTCCTACATCATTTGGTTGTATACTTTTGTTGGACTAGAGATCTGTAATGTTCAAATTGAATCTAATTAAAAAGAAAGGATCTTCTTCTTTTTTTGCAAACTACTACTTTCTTCTTCTGCTCTAAGCATCTACTTTTGTAAACACATTTTATTTTGGTGTATGTAGGTCTTTTGAGTAAACTATTTATTGGGCATGGATAGAAAAAGAAAATAAATCCAATCAAATATTAATCGGCATTGAAGAAAAAAAGTTTGCAATTGTGAATTTATAGTAGTCACTTTTAATTGTTAGATTTTTTCTTTTATATTAAGCTTTAACCTAATTGCATAATAACACCACAATAATATGGCTCTTGTAACCAAACTGAAATATTTCTTTGATCTAGCCAAAGAATTTGGTATATCATAATGGAAGTTTGAAAATACCACTAGATATTGTAGAAGTTTGCTCAAACAACTCAACAACACCAAAATCAATTTTCTTCTTATTTAACTTTGTTGATTTGTAGTGGAGATGCATTTTGTAAGCCTAAATGAATTTAAATGATAATATAATATTGTTTAGCAATTTGGACCAGTATATTACATCTTTTGCCAAAGAAGCTCCAAAATCCATTGTAGCAAAGACCTTATATTATAACTAGACCACAAAAATTGGAAGCTTACATAGCTTGGAGGAAAAATAATATTATGCATCTATTTCTTTTTTGGAGATTTCTACTATAAAAAGTTATTTTGTGTACTTGACGCTCTTCTTTTGTAGCAAAGTATAGCCTTATAAATGCAAGCAAGAGAACATTTGACCACTTTATATTAATGTTACTTACAAGAACAATATAACTTTATGCTTTTATTCACAAATTGCAATTAAATCATATTAGATTGTTGTAAAAGACTCACATCTATTAAAGTTTTTAAAACTATTTTAATATTTTTTTTATTTTTTAATCATGGCTTTAAGAAAATCACTTATTATTGTCTTTGTATCATAACAATATGCTACTATAAACACAATTTATGCATCATTCTTCTTCTTTATATAACATTTATACCTTGTATAGCCACTACTATTGTGTTAATAAGAAATGTACCAATATTCTTGGACATTGCAACATTTCTTTTATTACAATCAATTCTTCTACTACCTGATATGCAATAATACTAAGACATGGTTGCTTAAAATCTTACCATCTCCATAGTTGGAAATGTACAATATTTGTAGCAACAAATTTATGTGCACAACCTAAGAGATCATCCAACATTCACTACTTCACACCATTACCTTCTATGATTTCATTATACATAGACTAGTGCTTTATAGGATCCTATACACAATATGATGATGGCTTGAAGTGTATCATATATTTTGTACAAAAACCAAAAATGTTTTCTATAGAGTATTCTTCTACTATACTTCTTTCTAAACTTGCTTGTATCCTTACATAATTTTTTAATGTTTTTATGTATCATTCCATATGATACATCCATTAGCAATGCACCGAGCCACAAATGAATAAATCTTTGGTTAAATAAATCATGAGGTGAGTCATTATGTCAAAAAGTCTTAATAGAAAATCCTTCTCTAATATGCAAAAGGTGAGTGCAATATTCTTTAGGAGCTCCTTCTTTTGACTTATATGAAGTATCTTTGAACAAAGCTTATGGAAGATATTACAAACTTTTATGATAGCATGTCAAACTTCATGTTTAAGAATATATCAAATTGCCAAAGGTAATGCTTGTATATCAATATGTAATAGAGTTATTGTGAAATGATCACATTTAGGGTTACATATTGATCGTATATTTTTTTCTTTGTATATTAAACATTGAAGCTTTTAAAATATTAAAATTCTAATTATAAGTAATTATATTTTAGTGATTTATTTTTCTTATATTTACCTAGTGTAATGATTTTTTGAAGTATAGTTCAGTTAATTTATCATATATATATATATATATATATATATATATATATATATAAGGGTAAAAATTTATTTCACTTAAAAAAGTTGGAAAAAAATATGGACTATATCAAGCTATAATTGTCAATTGACTTGATGTATTACATGTTACTATCAAATACTTGTTTTTGTATTATTTTAACGTAATCTTTTAATGTCTCGTATATTGCAATGAATACTAAAAAATTCTTTTTTTTTCTTCTACTTTTAATGTATATTAAGCATCTAATATATGAAATTACCTTGGAAGTCGACCCTATGGATGCAACTAAAACTTTGGTTGAATGTCCATGTTTTATATGTCTTGTCTTCTTTAAAATAGTCTTTTTTATTAAATAGAATTTTTATTAGGTTATTACTTATATATTCTTTTAAAGTGCATTATATCAAGGATATTTCTTATCAATAAGTTTTTTTCAATTATTTTGCTCTATCAAAAAATATACATTTAGAATGCAATATTATTTTTTTGTCAATCATATCTATTCATATGAATTTCTATATAAGTCCTATCTAAGATACTTTGGTCATTTATTTGTATCTAGAAATAAAAAATTAAATTTTTGTATTCAAAAAATAAGTATAAAAAATTCTATGGTCCAAAATTTAACAAAAAAGATTATATTTCATACAAAGGTATATTAATACCTTTTACTGGAAGAGTCTATACAATGCATATAACCATTTTATTCCATACTTTAAAATAAGGTCATGTAGACTCTCTAATGTTTTACTTTCAATAAATTATTGGTTTCTTTCTTTACCAAATTGTAATATATTTAAGTCAAATAACTAAATTAGGATGTTTTTTATAGTCTTCTTTATCATTGAACCTTAACTTTTTCTTTTATAAGTGTTTAGTGGTAGCTACCTCCAAAATCCAACATATATAATTTTTTATTTTTTGATCCTCATGCAAGTTAAGAATCTATTCATATTCCATATACAAGGAATGTACAATA